TCCTAATGGTTTAAAGTTTAAACCGTAAACAGCTGAGAACTCAAACCACACTGACTGTGAAGAAGGCTATAATGATATATAATGATATAATCCCACCACAACCTGATCCTTTATCCCCTTTCTTCGCCGGTTATGACTCAAGACTTCACTTTACAGGGCCTACAGAGCTCACAGCCTTTGTGTTGCCCCTTTGCAGCTGAAGGACTCAATTGGTGGCAACTGCAAGACAGTGATGATTGCAAACATTTGGGTGGAACCTCAGCATGTAGATGAGACACTCTCCACCCTCAAGTAAGTGTGGACTCCCTGCTTTTTGTGATGTTGTGTGTGCTTCTAGCAACTCCATTGCATGGTTGAATTTCACCATGCATCATGAATCATGATGCATGCACACGCACCTTATTTTCTCTCATGTGGAGTTCTTTTCAGTGGCTTCATCCCTTTTGCTGGCATCGGCTAAAAGAAGTCCCAAGAATCAATTAACCATACACAAAAGACCCTTTTGCGAAATCCCTTCGCAAGACAACACATGTTGATGAACTTAATGGAGAAATGGTACAGATAATGATTAGGTTTAGATTCTTTAGATTCTTTAGAACTTTAGGATTTTAAATTTTAATGCCATATAAATGTATTGTTTTGTGGTTATGACTTTTTAACTAGGAAAAAAAACATAGGCTGCAAACCACAGCTGCTCCCCCACAGCAGCATTTATAGGGCTGTAGACTCTGTACATCTGGGCCAAAGGCCCTCCTCCGTCCAAGCATGGATTCGAACCGGCGACCTCGGCCTCAAGACCCAGCGCCCGACCCAACCCGAGCTTTCATGATATTTGGCGCCTGGACCCGGTTGTAACCGGGGTGTAAACGTCCGCACAACCTGGCCCGGCTGCAGGTGGGGCCAATTTGAATGTCTAGATCCGGGTCCGGATTGGAAGGGAAATGGGAGAGAAGAAGAAAGGGGGAAGAAGACAATATGTGTGTGTGTGTGTGTGTGTGTGTGTGTGTGTGTGTGTGTGTGAACTTACAGTGAAGGCAATCGTCAGCATAAGTGCAAGTATGTCTGTTTGGTGGGTGGATGGGTGGGTGAGAGAGAGAGCTGGAGGGGGCGAGGGGGAGAAGGCAAGGGGGCACAAGAGAAGAGGGAGTGAACAAGATTTTTATCAAAGAAGGTTACCTACACCCTTATTACTCACTTGCTACTGTTCGGCAGCATCACCGCTAGCCAAGCAGGATCTTCCCCTGATGTTGTCTTCTGCTTTTTCAATACGACGTCACACTGCTCTGAGGCTTCGCCACGCTGTGCACCAATTCTATCTAGTCTTGATAAAACAACGTAGAACTGTGAGCCCAAAGCGAGAGATAAGGCACAATAAATAGAGAACTAAAAAGAGAAACGGACCAACCGAAAGACATACTGAGCTGACCTCTGGGAGTAGTAGGAGGAATGATGACGGACTTTGGCAAACCGTAGTGGATATAGCCTGGACCCCCTATGCTTAGTAGGGGCGGTCAGGACAGCCTATATGCATTGCATGTTATGTGAGGATGAGAGGGAGTGGAGGAATACAGGGTGTAGGCAACACATGTGATGACCAGAAGGGGTAGAACCGTAGAACCATTAGAGTGAGAAGAAAAAAAAAAGCGGTCCGGTACTGAAGGACTGGGTGCCTCGCGGCCTCCTGCGCAGAAAAGACCCGGGGCTGTAAGCATTACTGGGGATACCCTAGGTGGCTGAGCTTGAGAAAAGAGTGCCCCCTTCTGTCTTCGCCCGAATAGAACACCCGGTCATTATATAGCCGTATTTGATGCAATTTTCAGTCCAGATTCAGCTATAATGACCGGGCATTCTATTCGGGCGAAGACGGTATTCTGTGACCTCCCTGTAAGACCTAAGTGCTTACTACTTTGCTGAAGTTGTGCCACATTGATTCACTTGCACTCACTCAGACTCGATCCCTGGCACATTGATTTACCTGCACTGAGAGACTCCCTGTAAGTCCAGATACACACTGAGGTTTGCATGCTATGACCATCTTTGTGTTCCACTGTGCCTGCAGTTATGCCCACCTCTTTCCTGGCATTGTCCGTGCGGTGGGGAGTTGCACTCAGTCTTATTGTCGTATGTCACGTTATGCGTCTGCCAAAATGGGCATTAGCAATTGGCTTATGCAGTTCTGTTCGGAATCCTGGACCGCAGATTTGCCTCAAGAATGATGCACATTGCGAATGAGGTGGTGTTGAATATCCGGCAAGACCCGGAAATCATGGTCAGTACATGAGGCACCATCCATCCTTCCTAGTCTAAATGAGCCAATACTCACACTATGACTTTTTTTCAGTCACACTATGACTTTTTTTTACTCGCACTATGACTTCTTTTGACTCACACTATGACTTTTTTTTCTTTCAAAACAGGGGTTAGTCCACCATAGTATTGTACACAACAGGTGCGAATTTGTGAACTGGATTTGCACTCTTGATCTGTTTCCTTTTCTCAGCAGTTACATGTGTGTATCATCCACACACATCTTTGTGATCACATGCACCCATCAAAGCCCTAGTGTATGTATATGCTCTGATGTTGGTTAGTGACATTCCCAGTGGGCAGTGCATGAGGGCGTTGTGACTGCTCAAGTATGCCTTTTTTTCTTTTTGGGGGGGGCGCTGTTCTATTCGTGGGGAGGATCACGTGAATATGCTAATGCCACTATTATTCTGATTGACGAGTGAAGCATCACTGATGAGTGAACCTCTACTAACAATTCAATTGCAAAGTACGTAGAAGGAATGACGTGCCACACAGATCTGAAACAATGCTTTGGGGGGAAGGGGGGGGGGGGGTTCAACTGGGGGCGGTGACAGTATGTGCACTTGGCATTCCCACCTTTGTCACAACCTTAGGACATTGTTCTCATCTGTGTCAGGTGTGCTTACCCCATAATGGTGTAGTGACGTCCTGCCTTCATCTCCTCTAGAAAATTAATTCGGATACGAAAGAAGAGCAACAACTTTTGGAAGGGCTAACTGGGGGGAGGGGGGGGTGCTCAGTTGTATGTTTATTTTAATATTTTCAGATCGACTGGTTTCTGCGGCGGGGGTGGTGGTCCAGCTATGTTTTTTTTTCCGCTGATTGAATTGGTTTCCGACCCCTATCCCTTGCACTGAGGCCCTTCGTTAGGGTTACCTGGCCGGTCAAATGCGGCGCACTAGCACCTTTCTAAATGAACAGACCTTAAGTACAGCAGGACCTAGATGCATCTGGCCACAATCATGGCCAGAGCTGAGGCAAAAAAGTCCCAGTGTGAGTATGCCCTGACTCAGAGGATCCCATGACATAGTCCTTGGCTGTGGATATCGAGAGACTAGCTAATGGCTAATGTCTACCCCCAGACATAACACATATGTATGCGTTGTAAAGGAATACAACGAATGGGTTGCTTTCTATTCAAATACAACACATATATGTTCTGTTCAAACATCCCTTATATTCGACGACAATTCATATGCGTTCTATTTTTTTTCAAAAACTGGGATACAACACTTATGTTCGGGGGAAGATGGTAGCTACCACTGGTACTATGTGCTCTTGCTGGTACCGGTTCCTGCTAGCGTAGCATGGACACATAGCATCAATGTGCAATGACTTGCTGATTTTGACTGCCGAGACCTGACTGCGAGGCTGTGCAGTAACAGCGTAGGGTTAGATTCGTAATTTTGTTTGTGTTAGGGACTAACCGAGAGTTCAGTGCTGAGGGAAATTTGTGAGCGACATATTTGTAATTTTCTAAAATTACAGGCCCGCAGTTCCCTTGAGCCACACTGCGAATAGCAGACCCGGGCTATCACTAGGACGGGAGGCCCTATGGCCTAGGCCTGTAGCATGAGAGCCTATAGCCGGGTAGGTAAAGGCCCTAGAGGCCCAAATTGAAACGGTACCGGTCGGTCCAGTCCGTGTCTAGGTCTAGGTTAGTCTATTAATAGATTGAGGTCAGTAGGGCGATGACTTTTGGCAGTTTCATTCTCGCGTCACAGCGTTTGGAGCCAAGCAAGTATTGGAGAGACGATTGCCTACAGGCGGCATCCTGAGACCTTCGTCGTGGACGGCAGCCATAGCCAGCCTTCTGTAGCTCGCCATAGCTGGGGCGTCCTCTGAGCATCCACCCCTGGGGGGTGCTTGCGAGTGGCTGGGCTATTCTGAGGCTCTACATGGTGTTCGTGGGTGGACCACTGTCGCCACATCTTCCTCTGAGATCGTGTGTGTCATCTACAGTGGCGCTGCAGCCATAGCTGTAGCTTTCTTCGTCAGCGTTGCTCATCGGCACTGAGGGTTACATCGCAGTTCCTGTTCTTCATCTGGGTGGTTAGCGCAGGCCTCTGGGAGGCTGTGGTTGTGTGGCGCTACTAACTGGGTGTAGTCTAGGGAGTGGAGTGTGTGGTTCTGTGAGTGGCGAGACACTGAGACAATCTCTGTAACGATATTGGTTCAGATCGGCTCAATCTCAGATTGTTCTTTTGTTATCCCCGCAGGTGTCTACTTGTGATTGGTTGTTGGGAGTATTGTCAGAGAGAGAAACACTTTGTGTTACCTCCACACCTGTACATAGTGGTTTTCCGCTGCTTACTCTGTCTGTGTGCAGTGTGTGTACTCTGTCTCCTCTCCCCTTCTTCTTATGCATGTATGGGCGTGCGTGAGATTGTCTGCGTGTGAGTGTTGGTGAAAATCGACAGACAACCAAGTTCATAACAAATGGACCTCACCATAACTCAGGGAATCCAAGAACATGGTCCCTGTTTGGTTATGGGGTTCGATATTTCGACTCGTTGATTGAATCACCACTGCCCGGATGTCTTCTGTTGACCTCTAATGGGCACTTTCAGTTTGAACAAGGCCAACCCGGTGCAGGCAGGCATTTAGGGGTTGCATTGTGCACTGATGCATCCCTTGCAGACGATGTGGTGGTGGCACATTCGTAATTTCGCTGTGCTTTACGCTGATGTTGGTCTGTGATCAGATAAAGAAGCTGGAGAAGGAGGTGAAGGATTTGAAGCGCGAGCTTGAAATGCGGGATACCATCAGCAGGTTGGGTCACCTCTTGCAATTTCCTAGGCTGTTTGTTCGGGCACCTGAGCAACCCACTTGTGCCTGGATACACGCCCTGCTGCCCGGCCGGGCATGAACCCCTGTGCGCGGCTTCCAGAGTTCCAGGCAGTCCCAGCGCCCAAAAAAAAAAATAAAAAAAATTCCAGTGAAGAATATATGTAGTGTAGAATTGCAATACAAACGACTTTTGGCTGAGGGTTACCTAACTTACCTCAGAATTCCTCACGGAATCGAAGATAAAATTGAAACAGCAAAATCAGACTAAGACACCCCCCTTTAAACCTTTGTAGCTCCTCAAAAACCACTTTATAACCCCCCTTCCCCGGCTTTGACAGCCAACACTCGAAAAAAGAAAGGAGCCAGGACTCTGGCCATGCGCAGAAACCTCCACCCGAAAAAGGGAAAAAAGAAAGAAAAAAGTAAAGGGCTGATTTTTGCCTGCACGGGGTGCCCAGTGCAGGTGACCCCTGGGCGGCTTGCCCGGGTCACACGGCCATGCTGCACGGCCAGGCGAGCCAAGTGGCCGAGACAATTTCTCCTTTCTTTTCCTTTCAGTTTGCTATGTGCTCAAACACATCAATTGGCCTTCTACAAATGAAAAACAAAAAATAGAAATTAGCAAATTAGCAAATTAGTAAATTACTCATTCTAATTCTGTCATCAGACAAAACAGAGAGGATGAGGGTACTTGGGGGATAGTGGGATTGAAAATTGAAAAAATGAGGGCAGCCTGAAGAAGTCCTTGAGAAACTAAGTTAAGCAGGTGATATCACTCCCTAGGTAGGCCTGCCTATCATGGCAGAGCATGGCAAGGCTCCTCCGTCTACATGGCACGTAATAAATACTAATAATCTGTGTAGCACAGCGAACATGTTCGGAGCTTTTCCGAACGTCCGAACATGTTCGGGTGTTCGGCCGAACGCCACCCGAACGTGTTCGGCCGAACGTATTAAAAAAAGAAAAGAAAAAAAAAGGAGTTTTTTTTTTTTGTTTTTTTATTTTTAACTCGAGTTTGGTTACGAATTTGACCATACCTCCAAGGCAAAAGTTGCTTGTATTATTACTTTACATCACATATATTTTTTTCAGATTTTTTGGAGAAGTTTTTTTTTTTTTTTTTTTAATATTTTTACGTTCGCGTTCGGGAAGTTTCGGCGCTCGTTCGCGTTCGGTCCCGAACGTTCGGGTTCGGTCACCGAACCCGAACACGATGCTACACAGCTAATAATTTAATATTTATGTTTTCTAACTTTTCTTATCAAATCCTGTGTTAGTCCCTGGGCGGCCTGGCTGGGGGAAGGTCGCCCGGGTACCCTCCCGGGCGGCCCGGGACAGGCAGGGCCCGGGCAGGGTCCTGGGTGATCCCAGCGCATAATATTTAAAGAAAAATAGATTTATTTTTTTTTTAAATCCGAAAAAAAAGAATGATGTTCAGATTGCAATACAAACCACTTTTGGCTGAGGGCGACCTCAAAATTCCTTGTTAATTTTAAGATAAAACATAAATGAGAAAACATGAGTCCAAATGTACCCTTTTAAGTCCTTTAGTCACTGTTTATAACCCCCAACCCCCCCTGGATGACCCATCACCGAAACTGGACTTGAGGCACCAGTACACCACACATCGGCCCCCGGGTGTCAGCACGAAACCCGCACCACTTCGGAGGCGGCCAATTTTTTTTTTCAACAGCGCCCCACGCCGCGCGGCCCCTCTGAGTTTTGCTTGTGGCGACAAAAACTTTCTGCAAGGCTGGGGCCGTGTACTTGCGGTTTAAGACCGGATTCTGACTGCTTAGGCCAAGTGCAGTCCTGGCCTGAAGTCTTCTTTTTGGGGGGGGGCCTTGCCTCTTTTTTGACCCGTCTGGTTTTGCTGGGCGACCCCCCCTCTGCCCAACTGGCCTGGGTTTGCCAGGCCGGGCGGCGGCCCAACATAGATCAAATCATAAATTTTCCTTTCGAATTTTCTTGTGATTTTTTTTTTTTTTTTCATTTTTTGTTCTTGCTTCTTTGCCCTTCCTCCCCCCTCCCTTCCCAGGCCCAGTGCCCAAGGCAAATACGAAAAAAAGTTCAAAAAACTTTAAAAAGTGTCTCCAAAACAAGCAGGGGCAGACAGGCAGCCTCACGTCTTCAAACTTCAGGCCGGCCAAGCTCTCTCCCCTGTGTGACACACTTCTTTTTCTATACTCTTCTTAAGGGGAGTAGCGGGTCTCGCGTAACGCGTCCCGCTGAGACCTTTTCCCCGCGCGGGCCCGGTGCACCGTGGGCCCGGCGCGGTTTTTTGTTCGCAGCCGTCTTTTTTTTTTTTTTTTTTTTGTGTTGAGAGGTTCGAGTCCGGCCGTTTTTCGGATTCCTTTTTCGCCTTTTCGTGGTGGGCGACGATAGAAACGAGTCTGGCAGTGTACATTTCCATGTTCCAGCGGAAGATTCATTCGATTTTGAGGTTTTTTGTTCGCGGCCGTCTTTTTTTTTTTTGTTTCGTGGTGAGAGGTTCGACTCTGGCAGTGTATATTTCCATGTTCTAGCGGTTCGCGGCCGTCTCTTTTTTTTTTTGTTTCGTGGTGAGAGGTTCGACTCTGGCAGTGTATATTTCCAT